CATAGCCACTCTTGATTACTAAGTATGGGTATCTCCCTGAGATCCCATCTTCAACTCTTTTAGATACAGAAGTAGATTCTGGATGCCTTACCTCATAGATATTTAGTTTTTCATGTCTAGATCCTTTTGGATCTTCAGCAGACTCTGGTATCTTACTTTTCTGGGGCTTCCTGAGAAGCCTGGGTAGGGCTCTAAATCTGTGCTCTTAGGAGAGCACCATAGGACACAGCAGTGTTCACCACTGGTGACAACGCCCTGTCCAGAGCACCGAGGGTCCTGCGGAGCAGCAGACCCAGCCTAAGCAGAACTTTATCCCAGACTGCCATCAATACTGCCCCATTCGCCTACTTCTCTGTCACAAAAAGAAGTACCTTAGTAAGCTGCTTAGCTATTTTATCTCAAAAGAATCGAAGCACCCGCTAGCAAACCTGTTCAAGTACTACGTGTGTACATCCGCCAAGCACTTTCAGAGTGCTCTGCGTTCTGAGATGGTTGAAGTCAATGGGGTTTATTTAAAGAGGGTTTAAAAGTTTCGGGCAATGTACTTTTAATGTATTAAACTCAACAGAGGGCTCTCATTCTATGTACTTATTATATATTTCATCCTATAAAAACCAACCACTAGAGACGTGGGTTAAATTCGGCATACTTGTTTCTCACAGAGTGAGAAACAGAAACACTCTCCTTAAACAGGGCAATGCTTGCGTCCCACCATAAGAGGGAGGGCTGGAGAGCAGGCCGGGAAGGGAGCATGCAGCCTTCTTCTCCCTCCCCGCTCCCCCTGCCCCTCCCCTTCCTCTCCTCAGGGAGGAAGCCTCTCCTGGAACACCCTCACCCCTGTGTGTGGCCATCTCCTGAAGGCTCCTGGGAACCTCATACATCAAGCGGGTATGGCGGCTGTCGTGGAACAGGTGCTGCACAAACCCTCTCAAAGCCCATCCCCAGAGCAGTAGGCCCCGAGGAAAGCTGGGCCTGCACGCCTCTTTCTCATCATGAGTCCAGGGAGTCCTGCCAGGCTCTGGGGACATACGGATGCCCATATGCTTGTGGTACGGCTTGTGGCTGTACCTCAAAGATGCGACTCATTGCCTGCCAGACTCCAGCCTTGCTCTGCTAGTGAGAGAAGAACCGGCGGGAGTCCTGCGATGCCAGAGGCCAAGTCCCCAGCAGAGCTGATGCCAGTGGCTTCGAGGCACACTGTCTGTCAGTCATACCATGCTCCGTGCTCACAGGACAATGCTGAGAAACACTTTTCTTTTTGGGTACTGGGGCTCGAACTCAAGGCCCTGCTGATTAGACAGTCATGCCTCTGGCCTGTTTTTCACTGATGGTTTTTAGGGTAAGTTCTCGCTTCTGGTCCAGGCATATGCCTAAACCCAATTGGCCTACCACACGCGTCCCGCATTGCCAGGGTCACAGGTGTGTGCCACCATGTCCAGCCTCCCTCCGTGCAGGTGGACTTTTCTGCCCAGGCTAGCCTGGCATAGCAATCTGTCCAATCTCAACCTCCGATGTAGCGTGGGATGATAAGCATGTGCTACTGTACGCAGGGAGGGTTGAGAAGGGGTCTCTTTAACTTTTCTGCAGGTAGGCCTTGAACCATAACTTTCTGGATCTCAGCCTCCCTGCAGCTAGGAAGCACCAGTGCCAGTGACAGAACTTCTTAAAATGGACATCATTGTGTCTACTGATTCTGCTGCAACCCATGCACCCACCCTCCCACCCAGAGGGCTTGGGAGAAATGTTGAATACAACAAAACCAGTGCTGGGCCAACACAGGCAATCAACGCCTGAGCCAGTCCCTTCAGACTTCCAGGGCTGTAATTTAGTTGGGAAAATGGGATTCACAAGGAAATCTGCTTTCTTTTATCTGGTGCAAGAAAGCACAATGAATTAAGCCTGCCATTATAGCCTATGAGGCCTATCTCAGAGGTGTGGAAGCAGATCCGTTCTCCACCCACCAACCCAGCTCTCTTCACTTGATTTCACTCTCCCATAACATGGCATCTGTGTGAGATTCGGGGAATGAATCGAGTGCTCTCCTTTCATTCTCGATGTATCCCAAGTGCTGACAACTGTGCTGGCATGTCATATTGTGAGTGAACTTAAACGAACTTTTATAATATGAACAAGTGACTTAAGAAGATTCCTGCCCCCAATGGGCAGAACTGGACTTAATCCCAATATGAAAACAAGTGACCAAAATGGAAGGGAGAAAGAGACAAGCCCACACTTCTACCAGAACAAAGAGCAGCCACCTAATCAGACGTGACAAGAAACCTCCCACCCCACAAAGCCAGAAGTCATTAGAAATTCAACTCACATCCAGAATCATTAATGAGAACCTTTCCCTCAAGGGTGTTTGGTCCTTGAGATATTAGCTAAATGACAGCACAAAGTCACAATGACTGCCAACATATTCAAAATAATGCCCATTTCACCTTTATCTAATAAGTTCCAGTCTACTCAGTACACCTGCAATCCCAGCACTGAGGCAGAGGCAGCAGGTCTGCAAGTTCAAAGCCGGTCTGAACTACCTAATGAGACCTTGTTTCAAACAAAGAATGTGAATACATCAAGAATGAATGCAGAAAACATGCTTTTGAATTGTTGGGGTACAAAAATCAAGGTTTGGGGCTCTGCATGGATAGAGCCCCCATCTGTTCTGGAAGGCTGAGGGCTGCAGGGTTCGGCTTGAACAACAGCAGTGTTGGCACAGCAGGAAGAGGGACTCATCTGCCACATAAATTATTGCGCCACATTTGTGGTAGAGATATCAACAGGCCGGCCACTGCCAACCAGTGTCCAGAAGTGTGAGGGGTTCCTGACTGATGTGGGCTGAGCTGTGCTCTGCCAGCGAACACAGCCACCCCTCAGAATGCCACCTTCTGTGCCAGGACTGCTGTCTTTCTGTAAAGGGGGATGTGGACCCTGACTTGCACGTGGGCTGAATGCCACATGTGGACTGCAGCCGACCCTTCTCCGGCTGACAGAGGGAGCTCAGTTCTGCCAACACCTTTACCTTGAACTTCCCTCCTCCAGTACACTGTGGGGGAGGGACCAGGAAACGAGAGCTCAGGAAAACAGCTGAGCTTTGAGGAGTCCAGCTAGCTCTGATACTGGCTGCCAGTATGTCCACCTGAGTCTAGCAGAGCAACGGGGAGGCTGTGTAAGGAGGCCTGCAGATCATGTAAGCAGGGGCGGATCATGTAAGTGGGGGCAGATCATGTAATTGGAGACAGATCATGTAGGTAGGAGGCACCGCCCCATTGCTCTGTGCTGGTCTCTGGGGGATACCTGACTGGTACCTCATCTGTTCTGGAAAGGAAAGTGGGGAGACGCTAGCTGCTACACAGCCTCTCTTCTTGTCAGGATGGCCAGGTAAGACTCATGGCCAGGAGCCCAAGTCAAATGGCAAAATGGGCACTCATGAATATGGCAGTGCACCAGCAAGGGGGCATTCATGACTACCACACCACACCAGCAAGGAGGCAGGAGGGGGAGGGACTCACTTTGCCTGTGGCAGCTTGAGCAGCAGAAGGTTGATGAAACCAGCACAGTCTATATCACCAGCCCACAGCCCAACCAGCTGATCAGTGCCAGTGGCTCGTGCCTGTAATCCTAGCTACTCAGGAGGCTGAGATCTGAGGATCGTGGTTCCAAGCCAGCCTGGACAGAAAAGTCTGTGAGACTCTTATCTCCAATTAACCACCAAAAAGACTGATGTGGAGCTGTAGCTCAGCAGTAGAGTGCCAGTCCAGAAAGGAAAAAGCTAAAGCACACAGACCTGGAGTTCAAGCCCCAGCACTGGCACACACATACACAAAAATAGTAAAACCAGAACTTGAGCTGTATTCCTGATTTCACGATTTAAAATAAACAATAGCCACTCAGAAACCTCGTCCAGAATGTCGTCCTCCCCTGGAGCACGGTGTTCCCGAGTCAGCCCACACACGAGGTCACACACATTTCCCATCAGGGAAGCCACACAGAGCAGACTGAGAGGGCACCAAGCACGTGGGCCAGTGCCTCTGTTTCCCCATGTGTACCTGTGGAGGGTGGCACCCAAGACTGCTGGGGTGAGGTCAAAGTCAGGGTCACATCTCCCCACACCTCCTGTCCTTCCCCTGGCTGAGACACCATCTGCAGACCAGTTGAGAGCAGACTGCCTGTCTGTCCTTCCACGCCGACACACTCACAGGTCTGCATGTATGTGTAACTGTTCCTGAACTAACATCCCTCAACCAAACTTTAAATCAGAGCCTTCAGGGAAAATAGGCACTTAGCAAACAGGGTCCAGGACCCAAGAGGGCCGGGGCAGAGAGGTCACTTAATGCTTTGAAGATCTTAACTCAAGGCCAGGAGTAGTAGTGCATATCTATAATCTCAATTACTTGGAAAGCAGAGATAGGAGGAGGATCATGGCTCAAGGCTAGCCCCAGCCATCTGAAAGATAACTAAAGCAGGGCAGTGTTTGTCTAGCAAGCACAAGACCAGCACCTCCATAAGTCACAGCACTACCAAAAATAACCAGTACAGCCAGAAAGTTGGGCTCAGAATTTTTCTACGTTGGCTGTAGAGGTGGCTGAGGTTTCAGTAGAATGGCAGCTCAGGGGTTGCCAGGGACTTCAGTCCTGGAGGCTGCGGCCCCAGTGGAGAATCGCTGTCCGCAGATGGCCAGTACACACGAACCAAGCATGACAGTGGCAAGCCAGGTACAAAGGAGCTGCAGAATCGCACTTCCTTCATCGGGCGGTCGGGCCTGTGGGGTCCTGCTGGACTCTATCAGAGCCCCGGGGCCACAGGGCCCTCCTGCTCAGCACAGTCCCCTGGCTTTGGTGCTTGCACCTCGCCCACACCTGCAGGGGGTGGTGGGGTGACAGGGACAAGAGACACACAGCCCGGGGCTGAGCAGCCAGGACCCCTGGACAGAGAACACAGGCTCATGTGTAAGAACAAGACAGTTGTACAGCCATGGCAGCACGCCAGGCCTTGCCCACCTGGAGCTCTCCCATTCTTGGTCATCCTTGTCTCTCTCTTCTTTGGCGTCTCCCGTGTGAGGATGTTTCTGGACAATTCTCATCCCGCCGGCTTTCACTGGAAGAAAACACAGGTGGCACGGTGAGGGCCAGGAGCGTGCCCAGGGACCCGAGGGCCTGCCGGCCAGGGCTGGGCTGCCCAGGGACCCGAGGGCCTGCCGGCCAGGGCTGGGCTGCCCAGCCCCAGCAGTGTGGAGAATCCACTGCTGACCACCATGAACTGGGAGAGGGTATGGTTTATACAACACTCAGAGCCCGGGCTTCCTTTAGGCCTTTCTAGAAACATCCCCAGGTGTGCCTGCCCCAATGTAACCACGTCAGAGGCCAGTGAGCGGGGATGTGGAGTTCCTCTGCTTTCAGCTATCAGTGATGATTTGCAGGGGGAGGGGGGAAGGGGGGTGATACAGCCAGGAGTGACACAGGACAGCTACAGCCAATGATGTAGCCAAGAGGATGGAGCAATCCTTCCCAAACGGTGGCCAGCCCCTATACTTGGTAGATGCTCATTACTGTTTTACAAACAGCTGTGTTGAGATACCAGCCATGCCCAACAGATTTCACACGCCGAGCTGTGTCATACAGCAATTGTGAGTGCATTCATCACAAAGATCAATTTTTATTACCCCGAGCAGTTAGTCCACACTTCTGAATAGTCAGTTTCCTGTCTACCTCTCCCCAGGCTCCCGGCAACTGGTCCTCTAGATGAAGCTACTCTGGACACTGGGGATAGAAATGGAATCATAAACCACATGGCTTTCGGTGACTGGCTCCTTTCACGGCGTGTTGGCAAGGCCCATCTACATGGAGGCGGCTCTGGACTGACTCCCTGCCTTAACATCAGCCCCTCCATAGCTCAGCCACACATTTCAGTTACGCCTCATTGGGTGATGGGCACTGTGTCTCTATTAGGAGCACTGCAGCCATGAGCAACACTTGGCCTGCTGTGTAGCTGCTCCCATTCTCTCAGGTATAGTCCTAGGAATCACACAGCAACTCCATTTCCCCTTTTGAGGAGCCGTCAGACTGCGTGACAGAGTGACACCGCTGCACTGAACGGAGCACTTCCGCCCGTGTGCCCCCACGTGTCACCTCGTCATGACAGCCATCTTAGTGGGTATGAAGTAGGTGCTCGCAGTAGTTGATCTGCATTCTCCTGGTGGCTAACAAGGAAGCAGGAAGGGCTTGGGGATTCTCGGACCTAATGAATACGAAAAATGCCAGGCTAAACAAAACCAGCTGGCCTGTTTCAAGAGATTTCGAGTCTTCAGACATCATAAAGTTTTATGAAGGCATGGAAAAAGCAATCTCCTCAGATGCATTTGACAGTTTTTTTCCCCTAGTAATCTTGATCATTATCATTTCTGGGTGCTGGTTGAGCTCAGGGCCTTGAGCTTGTCACATGAGAACTTGACTTCTTGAGTCACAAACCCAGCTCTTTTTAACCCTCCTTATTTAGGGTTTTGATATACACACACACTCACACACACATATCTGGGAAGGCATGGACTATGATGTACCCATGTATGTTTTCCATATAGCTAGTATAACAGGAGGGCACCACTATGTATAGCTACTGGTTGAGATGGGTTCTCATGTTTATGTCTGAGGTGATCTGGATCTGTGATCCTCCTGATCCTAGCATCCCGTAGCTAGAGTGACAGGTGTGTATTGCTTGAGATAGAGTCTCACACGTATACCCAGGCTGACTCTGAAACTTCTGATCAACACTTCCTGAGTAGCTAGAATCATAAGCATGAACCAATGGTGTCGGGCCTTGGTTATCATCTTGAAGCAATGTGTTCATGGAACAGTGTTTGGAAATTATAGCCCTACATCCCAAAATCTGACCTCCCCTGGCAGTGTGCTTCTTCCCTGAAGAAGCTGCATCTGTAGTCACCATCTTGCAGACTGCTTGCCTCGGCTCATGAGAACATCGTGATTGCAAATAGATGGAACGTGGAGAGCCAAGATGACACTGGGATATGTTAGTTGCTTAATAGCCATTAACGTTTGACCTCTGCCTCTGCCTCTGTGTCCCCGAGACTATTTGGTGAAACTCCCAGGAAGTATTGCAAAGCAAGCAGAGCTCCAGCCTCTACCAGCCCCGAAGCTAAGAATGCGGAACAGCATGCGGAACCTGTGCGGCAGATTTTCCAGCTTTGCTGCCGCCAGGCTTCCCAATTCCCCAACAGTGTATTTGTTAAGTGTACTGGTTTACTTTTTTTTTTTTTTTAATTCTGAGGCTACATAAGTTTGTATAACTTGTTCACATGAGAATATGTCATTCAGGGTCCCTACAATCTGAGTTCCTGAGCCATGGTCCTTCATTTCAGACTAAACAGTTTTCCTATCAAGGACAGTTGGTATTTTATGTTGAGAGTGCTCAGCTGCAGAAAGGCAATGGATGTGTAAGACTGAGAGACTGAAAGGAAGGAACAGCCCCGGCTCAAGCCAGGCATTTTCGGGGGACTCACTGGCCCCAGGGTCCTGGTTTTCCTGCCCCAGCCCTGCCTTCACCTCAAGACAGCTGTGGAGCCTTCTGCCAAAGGCAGCACACATTCCCCGTGCAGCCGGCTTGGGTGGTGCTCCCACTTGGTTGGAATACGCTGAGCCTAGCACAAATCTGTGATGCTGATGATCGGGAAGGAGAGGCTGAATGCAAGGTCAGCCGAAGCTCGCACACTCCAAGTTCACTATCTCCCATTTCCCTGGAGACACAGCCACGCCCAGGCCTCAGGAAGATGAAAATGCCTGCTGGTCCTCAGGGCCAGCAGCAACCTTGCAGATGAATGCCCATTAGGAAAGAGCAAAGCCAAAAGCAAGCAAAAGAAGGGGCTGAGCTTACACAGTGAATCTCCTGGTCTGGGACTGGAACCCACACCTCCCTCGGCCACACTCCTCCTTTCAACGCACAGGGCATGTTCTACTATGCAAAGAAATCAGAATCCAGGACAGCAAGTCTCTCGGAAATCTGCTTTTGATCCCATCAACTGACTTTTAATCATTTTTAGAGCTTTTGTTTTTATGTGTTGTCCTCACTTTCTCAGGTCCTTATGGTTGAGGTCTTACTCTTTTTTCATGCTTCCAATAACCTTTGTAATCATTTCAGACACCCTTGTCTTATATCTGTATATCTGATTATTCTGCAATCTGAGGTCTTTATGAGTCTACTCCGGCTGGTTTTTTGTCTGCAGCTTCTTGCTCCTGTGTCAGGTGACTGTGGGCTTTTTTGCTTGTCTTCTCTGGGTTTATTCTGTGGCCCAGAGTGAGGAGAGCAGCCCTTTACAGAGGTGCGCAACTGTGTTTGTCAGGACAAAGGTACAGGTGTCTGGAAATCCTTGTGCGGGATTTCTCAACAGGGCAACTTGGAGACCACACAATGTAAACTTGAACTCCACTCATGAGAAGCAACCATGAATTTACAAAGTCTCAAGGAGACTTTCTTGTCCCTAGCCAGGCTCCAGGCTGATACAAGAGGACTTCTGGCTATCCTACGGCGTTACGGGGCAGGCCTCTCCCTCCCCCACCTTCTGCAGAGATGGGATTCTGAGCACCCAGCTTTGTGCTGGGCTTTGGGGTCCTGTGGCCTGCCTCACGGGGGTGTGGGGGGGAGGGAGGGAAGGGGAGGCCTATCCTGTGCTGTCTGAATAGCACAAGGTCTTCCTTTGGTTTTGGTCCCTAGGGATTTTCTTCAGTTTTGAGCTCAGACTGAAAAGCAAAACACAACCCAGAAAAGATCTCTCATTTGCTGGCAATTTCTTAATCTAAGTTTTCCTAGCTTATGTAGTCTGCCACTCCATTAGAAATGGTGATTGGAAATAAAACTCTTAGCATGTTAATGTGATTTTCTACTCTTTTGAAATGTTAGATTGGAGAATTGTGAATGTTTTTAACCAGAGTAAGAACTTAAAATAACTGTCTCATTTAATGTTTTTAAAAATACATTTTCCACCTCCCCCTACTACCCCCATGCCAATCAGACACTGAAGGAAAATGCTATTAGCTCCCTCCCACGTATGAATGTTCAAGTCCTTATTCCTGTATATGGAGACAGGGCCTCTGAAGAGGTAATGAAGTCAAACTCAGAGCAGTCCTCATCCAACAGAGCTGGTGCTGGTGTAAGAGGAAGAGGCACTAGGGATACAGGTGCATGAAGAAAAGGCCAGGTGAGACCCCGGGGAGGAGGTCCCAGACTATCTGCCGGCCAGAGGGGGAGACAGGCAGCCCAAGGAGACATCTGCCCTGTCTATACGCTGACCTTCAACTTCCAGCCACCAGAAAAACGAGAAAAAAATGTCTGCTGTTTGAGCTGTCCAATCGTGTTATTCTGTTACAGCGACCCTTGAAAACGATGAGCACTGAACCATCACAACTTTGCCGACAAAAAACTTTTACACTATAACTCCCAGATGTGTTCTACAAACTGACTAACAGTAAGACAGGCTGTACAACACACTACAAAGAAAACCGGTAACGAATGTCAAGGTGACATTTGAGACAATCTGGCGAAGGCAGTCTACTCCTCAGCTGAAGTAAGTGCGCACTGCCAGGTTCATTCACCCACGCTGGCACTTGCAGCCAATTCAGTTTCTAAAAACAATTAACTTCATGAATACCAATCAGTGTGTTTGGGGATTAATGCAGCAATATAAGAAGTGGTGATAATAAGGCTGAGACAGATCCATTTTAACTTTCCATGCTGCCAAAAAAACCCACCAAACAACAAACCCCAAACCACGACAGTACATATGTACTGATTGCTGCACCAGTGTTTCTAGAACTCTATTCATAAAACAGCAATGGCAGAATCATTTTTCTCAGTAATTGTTGCAGAATTATTTGCAAATCTAGAGACAGGAAAAAAAAAATAAAAGAACTCAAGTTTCTGTAAGGCCCAGCCAGCAAACAGTAGAGCTAGATTTCAAACACACCAGACCTTCCCAGCTGGACGCAGAGCACAGAGTCCCCTCAGGTGACACAAGTGCTGGTCCCATCACCTCCAAGAGGGACAAATGTGCTCTGGAAAGCCAAAGCTCTGCAGAGTGACTTCCAGAGCCC